TATATGAGTAGAAAACAGCTATTACATTACATTAATAGTTTCTGATTCTTTAAACCTTTTTCATAAAAAAAGTAATTAAATCAAATAATTGATTATGATTTATGAGTTATCAAATATCAATCTTGATATTTTATATAGTATTTTAAAATTCATATAAGCCATTCGGGGAAAATTCCCCGACAAGATTATCCTCATCGAGGGCAAATCCCCATGGGGATTAAAACTCGATATTCCCTAACCTCCGAGTCGGGTCGGGGATGGACAACATCTCATACCCACAGGGCGGGGATGGGTGAACCCCCCAAGGAGTTGGGTGCAGGTACGGATTCGGGGACCCTAATCTCCAGCTCCGACCCGCCCCGTGCCCATCCCTATTGGATGCTAATTCCGATAAACTTCTGATATTTTTTTACTGCTAAAATTGTCATTTAACAATTTTTTTTTTTATACCAAAACACATCTAACCGAATTTTAGTCAAACCCTTAACTTTTAATTTCTCACACTCGTAACCCCATTGCCCCAACAACTCACCACCCATCCACACAAATACAATCATCCATTAACTCCATCAATGGAAACACAACTGCCTATCAATTTGTTTTATATATATCTTCATAATTAGCACTGTTAACTCTGACGTGTAGCTTAGGTCTATGATCTTTTCACACATGGCATTTCAGTCCTAGAAGCCTTCACGCCAATGTCACACGCCAAATCTATTTTTACGAACACAAACGCAAGTTAAAGAGGGCTAGTGGGTGTGCCATTGGCGTTAACCCTTTGACGCTCAAGTCAAACACTTCGTTTTCGGGTGTCAAGCCACACGAGGGTTTCTTTATGGATCTGGGTTGGATGCATACCCCTTGGGCCTACTATTAGCCATATTTTGAGCCTGCTTTTGTGCCTTGTCCAATTTACCTTATGGGCCGATTTGGCCCATTTGTGGTTTGATTGTTTTGCCCTTCTATACAGTAACCCCCACCAACAAGCACTATAATAAAGAAACTTAAAAATTTTGTTTGAAAATTAGGATATTTTCAAGGAAGGTTGCCATGATAACTTTACTTTAGGCTATAGTGTATACCTCTTTTGAGGCCATTGTGATGGCCTCGGAAGGTGGGGGTAGGGGTTGTGGAGGAAATAGGGTGGGTTAATATTAGAGTTTAGGACGTTTTGGTAATTTTATTTATTAAAAACGGATAAATTTTTTTATTCAATTTCAGTTTGACAGTGTGTGAATAATACATTTCCAAATAATGCATTTTTGAATAATGTTAAGGAAGTTTAATTAAAATAAAATAAAATTGGAGAAGTGATTTTGGTGAAATTTTAAAGGAGTAAACAACTTTTTCCCACCCAAATAATTGCCTAATGACACTTTCCCATCCACGAACTTTTAAAATACCCCACTTTACTACCAAAACGTTATATTCAGTTAATTATTTTAGTTAAATATAGTAATATTAATTGTAAAGAGGAAAATACCCTTTACTTTCTTCTTCTCTTCTCTTTTTAGCATCCACCTGGTGGAGTGTGTTTTGGTTGGTTGGGGTGTTTTATCAAATAGTTGGCGGGTAGGTGTTTGGGTGCTTTTCTAGGTCAATTGAGGGCTGGAAAAGTGAGCAGGGATGGTGTAGAGGCCGTTGGAGTGGCGGTTGCAGCCGTTGGAAGGGATCGTAAGCGGTGCGAGGTGGTTTATGAGCAGCTTGCAAAGGCAAGTTGCAAGTGTCCGGGCTCATCGGTAGGAGAGGGGCTAGTTGGTTGAGGAATTTTTACGAGCAGGTGGTGGGAGCCCAAAAAACGACTGGTGGACGACAAACGAGGAGTGGGGAAAGCCGATTGGATGGTAGGTTTTGAAGGGGGTGAAGGGGGTTCCAATGGTAGTGGAAGGGTGAATTTCAATGTGCCAATCGACCGGAAACAAGTCTAAAAGATAGGTGTATGCCAAAAAAAAAAGTAGACGTTTTCTAATGATTAGAGGGTGAAATTAGGTGTCAGGGTGAGAGGAGCCAATGATTGGTGGTTCAAACGGGTGAGGTTGATGAGGGTTTTGTTAATTGACCATCCTATCCTTACTTATAACAGACTTTTGACTATCATTCCTTTCTTCAAAACAGAATTTACTAGCGAAATTGGTAGTAAAATGGTATTTTAAAAGTCTGTGGGTAGGAAAATATCATTGGACCATTATTTGGATGGGAAAAAGTTGTTTAGTCATTTTAAAGTAAGAAAAACACTAAGTTTACAACTCAATCTCACAACCTTAACGTGACAGTTAGATTGACACTGTCACGTCAACTCCCACCACACTTAAGGCATTATTAGAAACGAACAATCGTTTCTTATGAAGGAATGACCGTTCCTTCATAAGGAACCATACCTTATTGAAGGAATGACCATACCTTCATAAGACATGACCATTCCTTAAGGAGGTATGGTCATTCCTTATAAAGGAATGACCATACCTTCATAAATAATAAGGAATGACCGTTCCGTAAGGAAAGAATGGTTGTTCCTTAGAGAGGAAAATACATTCTTTCCGTGAGGAATGACTATTCCTTTACTAAGGAACGATCGTTTCCTATGAAGGAACAATCGTTTCCTATGAAGGAACAATCGTTTTTAAAGTTTAGTCAAAATCATTTAGTACCTTGAGTGTGGTGGAGTTAATGTGACAGTGCTAACTCAGTTGTCATGTCGGAGTTGTAAGAGAAGTTTATGAGAATAAATTGTGGACGTAATATTACTCTTAAAGTAAATAATTGTCATTGTTGTAAATAAAAGTGTGAAAGAAACTACAATACTTGAATCAAAAGAATGTAATAAGCACATGTATGATAAATACATTTCATCACTTGGTCAACAAGATTGTTCAAGCTAGTATGTGTAAATTCTAAGTGAAGCAAATGATTTGATTTAGTACACCGCCCCAATAAGCTCAATTCATAATAAAATTCTTAATTTTATTTTTGTTATCATCCGAACCAACTTAACTTATGAAAAACCCAAATATATTATTATTATATTCAATTTGATATTTGATATTGACTTCTTCCTTTTCGAGAATCAGAAAGTTTTTATTGCAAATACGCATATCAAAATCTAAGGAATCCATCCAAGTTGGCTTACAAATAGGATGCCTTCATTTGATACAATTATCCAATCAAAGGAATAATTGGAATGGCACTAAAAAAGCCATAGAGTATTGGAAGAACTACTTTATATGAATCACACATGTAATGTTAATCCATGTCAGAATCATTAAATTTATGTTGTTTCGTATGTAAGTTACCTACGCCACTTATTAAATTTATATTGTATTATATTCAATATTCTAATAAATATAATTTTTTTTTTAGATTCATTTATCCAACTATAATAGTGTTTGAATAATATAATATTTTATTATATGAGGATATTATATTAAAAAAAAATAGATTATCTTAAAAATTATTAGGAATGTTTAGAAAATGTGTTTGGTTGGTTCAAATAAATTGATAAATAATATGTTTGGTTGTGAGGATAAATGAGTGAATATGTTATATAGATTACTAAATTGCTCTCATTTTTAAATATTAATATAATAGTATTTTTTATTATTATTTTGAATAATTTATTTTAACTCCTTACATTTGAAATTTTGTTAAAACACCAAAACCATATAAAACTTTAATTTGTAGCAAAATCATCCCAATCCACCCTAAGCCACTATTGACTGCCGTCGGTAGTCGACAGAATGATACATGACTGGTTGTATATGGACGATCGTGTGCCGACAAAGCCATTTTTGGCTATGGATCACAAATCTATGGCCGTTTCATGGTCACATCTATGGCCATTTCATGGCTACATCTTTGGTTGTGAAACGACTATGAAAACGACAGATTTGGCTATTTGCTACCATGGATCATGGAAAAGGCCTTACTGGCGCACGACCGACTAAATCTCGCCAGTCATGCACCATTACGGCGAATGACGTCGGTGGGCGGCAGTGGTGAATAACGGTCGGCAGTGGTCTTGGGTGGCTAGGGGTATTTTGTTAACTTTTAAACTTTTTTGTCATTGGGGTATTATAGCTAATTTCTCAAATGTAAGGGGGCTAGGTAATTGTTATTTGGTAGACATTTAAGGATAATTGTGTCTGAAATGACATTTAATTAAGGGCAAAATAGGTAAAAAAAATAAGATTACCCGATAATGTTTTAATCCCAAGGGGAGGGTATCGGATTACCTCCAACATTATCAACAGTAAATACTATTTACAATGAAAGACTCTTATAATATTTTATTATTTGCAAGTCAAAAACTAGAATCTTGTAAAATAAACGAAGATTACTCAATTATCTTATATGTCCATTATCCAAAAGCACCCATAGTATAATTGTAGTACTAGAGAATTACATGTATATTCAAATTGACGAAGTTAACTTACCATTTAAGATATAGATGAAGTTAGAAAATCTATTTACAAAACTGAAATTCAAAGGTTAAAAAATATTACAATAAATATAAAAGTCAATCTTGAAAAGATATTTATAATTATTTGAATTAAAAGAAAAAAAAGGGAGAGAGAAAAGTATAAATAAAGGAGATGAAGTGAAATGAAGAATTAACCGAGTCAAGGGCAGGGGAGTGTTGGTGGCAGCCAAAGTCATCCAGGGCCCAAACTCCCCCGCAAGTCTCTACGCGGAAGACGCATATAAACAAAACAAAACCCACATCCTCCTCCTCCTCCTCCTCTTCTTCTTCTTCTTCACGTTCCTTGCTCCTTCTTTTCTATTTCCATTTGCTTACATCCATATATACTTGTCTTCATTTTTCTTGTGTAAGGCTCCCACTTGACCCTCCAAACTATACTTTTTCTTTTCCTTTCTCAATCCAAATTCGTTTCTACTTCTTCGAGGACTTCACTTATTATCATAACTTCTTTGATTAGTTAATATCACCAGAACTAGCAAATTTTTATTTTATTTTATAATATTAGTTAGTTAGTTAAGTTATGGGCAACTGTTTACGTTCTTCAGCTAGAGTAGATTCCACCCAGAGCCCTCAGCCTACTTCTGGTACTTCTCTTTCTTTTTATTAGTTATGTTTTCTCTTTAGTTCTTTTATTTTAATATTTTTTATGGGTTTGTGTTGTCATGGCTTTATAATACTAATTTCTCTTTCTCTTTGGCTTTGGCTTTGGCTTTGTTTTTGTTTTTTTTTTTTTTGTGTTTGCTGTGATTTCTATCAGTAAATGAATTGTTTTAACTTATATGTATACAGTCGTTTGGTTTTGGTAGTGTTTGTAGAATCAAATTCTGGTGAAGCTATGTATGAAGATACTCTCTTTCCATTTTGTTTTTCGACCATCAATGTTTAGGTGTAAATAATTACTGTTGAGGCGGGTTCTTTGTGAAATTTCGGTTCTTTACAGAGACTAAGAAGATTATGATGTTTATTTAATTTTCCTTCACATTCTTTGAAGCTCGGTGTTGAATTAGTGTATAGATAGATCTACATAGTTTTTGCTCATTGTTTGATTCAATTTTTTATGATATGGTTTTTTAAAGAGCTTTTACTTTGCAATTGGGTTCATTGTTTTAAATTAAATAAAGAAAAAGGTGTTTGACTGTTTATTCTTAAGCTCTGATGCTTGCTTTTTGTTTTTGGCTTCAATTAACGAATAGGAAATGATCTGTGCCGGGGTAATGATACTTTATTTAAGTTTATGGCTGCCAGTTTCTGAACTGTCAATTGTTTCAGTTTATGCTTAACATACTGGGAAAGAAAGAAGCACATAGGACTTGCTTTCGGGGTTAACAACTGTCTCTTTTTGAATCAGCCGTGACAAGTTACATTTTTTAGATTTTGGAAAGGCCAGTAGCCTTCTCTCATTCCTTTGGGTTATATTTCGACCTCTCAGATGAAAGGGAAGGTGTTGCTTGGATGCATAGCCATAAATAAGACGCCTGAGGACTTTCCCCCCCAAAATATTAGCAAACAAAAATCTGTAGAAGCAAGGTTTGGCTGGAAAATAATTCCTGTGTAGCAATAGTGAAGTCCACGAAACTTGAGAAAAGTAGAGGGGTTTGGAGTACTGCATATAATCTGTAATATTTTGTGTCTTATTTATCAAAATGAGTAGTGAGGAGAAGCTTGATATTTAACAGCTTGTCAGTTAGGTTGGCTTTTTACCTAATTGGAGAGTGACATTCAAATAATCTATACTTAATTTTGATGTAATACATCTTTCATTTTAGTCATGTTCAAAATTGCGCCTTTGAGGGCGAAGGGTTTGTGAAACACATAACACTATCTAAGATAGACCCTTAGTGCTATATAGATTTTGATTTGGACAACTGTCATGTTAGAAACAGCCTTCTTTTGTTGTTAGCCCATTATTTGAAAATCTGGAACTTAAGTTTCTCTTCTGGAATCAGGAGCCTCAAGGATTTCCAGTAAATTCAGCCGTTCTTCTACTCCTTCCACTCTAACCATCCCATCTTGCAGTGAAAAAGGCCATTCTGACTGTCTTCCTACACCAAGGTCTGAGGGTGAAATATTGTCTTCCCCAAATTTGAAAGCCTTTACATTCAATGAGCTCAAGAATGCTACCAGAAACTTTCGTCCTGACAGTCTTCTTGGTGAAGGTGGATTTGGTTATGTTTTTAAAGGATGGATAGATGAGCACACACTTTCACCTGCTAAGCCTGGATCAGGAATGGTTGTTGCTGTCAAGAAGCTTAAACCGGAAGGTTTCCAAGGCCACAAGGAGTGGTTGGTAAGTTTTTCTCTTTTTTATTTTTTATGTGATATTTTCTGCTCTTCCTTACAATTTTTTGCTTCCCAATTTGTTTCAGACAGAAGTTAATTACCTTGGACAGCTTCATCATCCAAATCTGGTTAAATTAATTGGATATTGCTTGGAGGGTGAGAATCGCCTTTTGGTCTATGAATTCATGCCCAAAGGGAGCCTCGAAAATCATTTGTTCAGAAGTAAGTAATGCCTTCTACGATGTTGAAAAATTGCTGTACACTATTCCATACAGGTCATTTGTTTTACTTAATGGCTATAAACCTTATGCTCAAGTTGCCAAGGAACCAAAATACAAGCAATAAAAGACCTTTCCTACTCTGCAGTTCTTCTTGCAGGAAAATTGACTACTGTTCTATAAAATTTATGTGGCTAAATTAAGTTGTTTACTCTAATGAAAAAAATAGCAAAAATGTAGAACCAAAAATTTCTATTACTGTCATTTTGGCAAGAAGATACAGGTTAAGGTGGAAATTTAGTATTTATTGTCATTCATGCTACTTTCATCTTCCTTTTACTTGTGGAATGAATTTATACAAGAGGCATAACCAAGGGAAAAATTACCCTGTTAAAACAGTGTAGAGAGAAAAGAAGGATCAATTTGCAAAATGGCACAAGATTATCCTTGACCTTTTGGATGTCCTTATTTGCTTCAGTTTGCTTTAAGATTTGCACGCTTGTCTTCTCAATACAGATATCTGAGATGCATCTGAATTTTGAAAACTGTGGATGACATTGATTAGACCATAGGAATTAAAATAATGACTAAATATATGGCTTTACTCAGTTACAATTCCACTGCCCATACCCTATGCTAGGATCTGCTGTTCCATTTTTCTATTGAGTTTTCTTGCTTATATTTGCATGAATAGAGGTTCTACAAAGCTTATATTTGCATGAATATAAGTTCCACAAAAGCTTATATTTGCATGAATATAGGTTCTACAAAAGCTATTCTCCCTTAAAACCAGCTCAGGAATGAAATGTTGGGATGTTATAAAGCTCCTTGATCTAACCTTTAATGTTTTTTTTTTTTTCAGGAGGACTCCAGCCGCTTTCTTGGACAGTAAGGATAAAAGTGGCCATAGGTGCTGCCAGAGGGCTCTCTTTCCTTCATGATGCAAAATCACAAGTTATATATCGTGATTTTAAGGCTTCTAATATTCTACTTGATGCGGTATGCTTATTAAAACGGATAATTTATTGTTGCTTTGCCTGTAGTTTGCGTAAATAATGTGATGGCATTAGATTTATGCACATTACTGGCGATAACAATGCATTTGGGATGCAGGAATTTAATGCAAAACTTTCTGATTTTGGTTTGGCCAAGGCAGGCCCCACTGGTGATAGAACTCATGTTTCCACGCAAGTTATGGGTACTCATGGTTATGCAGCACCTGAATATGTTGCTACAGGTATGTAGAACAGCGATGTTATATACTATCTTTATTTACATTTGTGAAAAACAGAGAACTAATTGTAATTCTTATTATTTGTATTGATAAATTATACATCAATATATAGGAAAATAAAGAACTAATCTAGGAAACAAATAATCTAATCTAGGAAATGAATAATTCAACTTCCTATTTTACAGATTTGATCTTAATATATATTGATTACAATCTTAATATTCTATTATAGATTTATACACTTAATCATACACTATCTGTAAGATTTTGTATGATTATCTACAACACTCCCCCTCAAGATGGAGCATAGATGTTAATCATGCCCAGCTTGTTATAAATATAATCAATCCGAACCCCATTCAAAACTTTAGTGAAAACATCTCCTAGTTGCTCTCCAGTCTTCACATATCCTGTAGAGATTAAACCTTACTGTATTTTCACACGAATGAAATGACATTCAATTTCAATGTGTTTAGTTCGTTCATGAAATACGGGATTAGAAGCAATATGAAGAGCGGTTTGGTTATCACACCACAATTTCGTTGGCAAAGAGGCCATAAGACCAACTTCAGTAAAAAATTGATATATCCATATTACTTCACACACAGACTGGGCTATAGCCCTATATTCCGATTCTGCACTAGACCGGGACACAAAAGTTTGCTTCTTACTTTTCCATGAGACCAAATTTCCACCAACAAAAACACAGTAGCCTGTAGTGGATCTCCTATCTATCTTGGAACCCGCCCAATCTGCATCAGAGAAGCATTCAATATTATTATGTCCATGATTTTCGTACAAAATACCACGTCCTGGAGCTCCTTTCAGATAACACAAAATCTGTTCTAACGCTGCCTAATGATCAACCGTAGGAGAAGACATGAATTGACTTACTACACTGACAGAGTACGCAATATCAGGACGAGTGACTGTTAGATAGTTCAACTTTCCAACCAGTCTTCTGTACCTCTCATGATCTTCAAACAGTTCACCATCTTTGGTAAGTTGCGAATTAGGAAACATTAGCGTACTGCATGACTTAGCTCCCAATTTTCCTGTCTCAGTTAATAAGTCAAGTACATATTTCCTTTGAGAGAGAAAGATGCCTTTCTTGCTCCTTGTTACCTCAACCCCTAAGAAATACTTCAACACTCCTAAATCTTTTGTATGAAATTAGGTGTGAAGAAAGGACTTAAGTAATGAAATCTCTACAGTGTCACTCCCAGTGATGATAATGTCGTCAACATATACAATAAGAAGAATAATGCCAACTGCTGATTGTTTGTAAAAGACTGAGTGATCAAACTTACTTTGTCATTTGGAACTTTTCAACTACCTAACTGAACTTTCCAAACCAAGCACGTGGACTTTGTTTCAAACCATACAACGATTTGTGAAGATGACAAACTTTCCCATACTCCCCCTGAGCAACAAACCCAGGTGGTTGCTCCATATAGACTTCTTCCTGAAGGTCACTATGTAAAAAGACATTTTTGATGTCCAATTGATGTAACGGCCAAGAATGAGTATTCGCCATAGCGATATATAAGCGAACATAAGTCAATTTAGCCATAAGAGAAAAAGTGTCAGAATAATCCACTCTATAAGTTTGAGCATAGCCTTTAGCTACAAGATGAGTTTTAAGCCTAGCCATTGATCCATCAGGATTTATTTTAACAGCAAACACCCATTTGCATCCAATAGGTCTCTTTCCAATAGGTAAGTCAACCAAGGTCCAAGTACCATTAACATCTAAAGCATTCATCTCTTCTATCATAGCATCATGTCGGCCAGGATGAGGTAAGGCTTCATGAACAGTTGCAAGAAGGGAGACAGAGTCTAGTGATGCCACAAAAGAACAAAAAGAAGATGATAAGTGATCATAAGAAACAAATGAAGAGATAGGATAAGTACACTGATGTTTACCTTTTCGAAGAGCAATAGGAAGATCAAGATCACTCAAGGCTGGATCCAACGACGAAGAGTCTTCGGTAGGACATGAATTATGAGGGTCTTCTTGACGAGGAACACAAGTATCAGGATCACTGGAGATTGGATCTGACGACGAAGGGACTGGTACAGGAGGTTCCTGTCGACGAGAATAAACAATGCGAATTGGAGTTAGTGGACGGACAGGAGGTGGTGCCGGAGGAGGAACAGTAGGTGTGGAAGCCTCAGGTGTAGGAGTAGCCGGTAGGGATGTGACAGTGTAGATTAGTAAGTCATCGTCCTCCCCCTGACTTGCATAGGTAGATGAAGTAGGAAAAAAAGGGGTGTTTTCTAAGAAAGTAACATCAGGTGACACCAGATATCTATTAAGACTCGGACAATAGTATCGATATCCCTTTTGAAGTTGAGAGTAACCTAGAAAAACACATTTAAGAGATTTGGGATTTAACTTGGTTACCAGCATCACGAATAAAACAAGTATTACCAAATATCTTTGGTGCACTAGTAAACAAAGGTTTAGACGGGAAGAGGACACTGTAAGGAATGGAACCATTCAGAATAGATGAAGGCATGCTGTTAATTAGAAAACAGGCCGTGGAAATTGCATCGGTCCAAAACTGTTTAGGAACTTGCATTTGAAATAATAAGGCTCAGGCGGTTTCAAGAAGGTTCTTATTTTTTCTCTTGGCTACTCCATTTTGGGACGGTGTGTCAACACAAGAGGATTGATGAAGAATGCCATGCTGACTCATATAAGACTGAAAAGAACTCAAAAAATATTCTTTGGCATTATCGCTTCTTAGTGTCTGGACAGAAGTATTAAATTGAGTTTTAACTTCAGTACAAAAGGCACAAAAATGAGAAAACAACTTAGAACAATTTTTCATTAAATAAAGCCAAGTTACACGAGAGTTGTCATCAACAAAGGTAACAAAATATTTAAATCTAGGTGTAGACATAATAGAACACGGACCCCAAACATCTAAATGAACTAATTCAAAAGGGACACTAGCCCGTTTATTGACTCTTTTGGACTTGAAGGAAGACGGTGGTGTTTGACAAATTGACATGACTCACAATCTAACGAAAAATTGACATGACTCACAATCTAACGAAGATAAATTATTAAACTGAGGACATAGTTTTTTTAATAATGGTAAAGAAGGATGTCCTAACCGACAATGAACCTCAAAAGGGGTCGAAATACTGGAACATGCAATGGTTCTGGGCACCTGTGTGTCAAGGATGTAGAGCCTTCTAGATTCATGTCCTTTACCAATAATTTGCCTTGTCGTAAAATCCTGAAACAGACAATGATCAGGGAAAAATGAGATTTAACATTTAAGACCACGAGTGAGTTTACTCATAGACATTAAATTAAAAGCGAACTGTGGTAGACTCAATATAGAGGATAGGGAAATTAACGGAGTAGGGTTAACAAACCCAGACCCAAGAACACAAGAAGTTGACCCATTAGCTAAAGTAACATTAGACGAGAAATTATGTGACTGATATGTTGAAAAGAGACTAGGCTTACCTATCATATGATCTGTGGCACCAGAATCAATGACCCATTTGGAGGATGAGGAAATAAGACATGTATTTGGTTTACCTGACTCGACGAGAGCAGTGATGGAAGTAGATGAGGACTTCAATGATTCTTGATACTGAGAAAACTTGGCAAACTCATCAGTTGAAATCATAACCGTCTTCTCAGAAGTATCGATAGCGGCAACATGAGCTGACTGAGTTTTCTGGGCCTTATTTTGCAACTTTCTACATGTGCGCTTTGTATGACTAGGTTCATGACAGTAGTAGCACACAATCCCTCTTGACTCTTGACTCTTGACTCCGATTATCCCGATTTTTCGAACCCCTTCCTCTATTATTGCTCCTGTTATATGAACGTCTGGTGTCATTATTCTGACTTACAAGAGCACTACTCGACTGAACAGATGAAGTGCTTTCTGTACGAAGAACCCTAGTAAATATGTCTTGGAGGGAGGTGATCTCAGAACTGGCGAGAACCTTAGATTTAGCAGATTCAAACTCAGAAGGGAGTTCAGCTAGGAAACTCATAATCGCCATTTTCTCTTGTTGAGCTTGTTGAACTCTCACATAAGCACTCACCGGTAAAAAGACGTTAAGTTCTTCATATATCCTTATAAAGTCCATAAAATAGGCCGTAAGAGACTATGTTGTTTCTCAGCTCGATAAAAGGCTTTGCATACATAAAAAATTCGAGAAACATTCCCTTTCCCAGAATACAAAAAATCTAGATAGTCCATCAACTCTTTCACATATTCACAATGATTAATTAAATCAAGTACCTCACTGTTGATGGAGTTCTGTATCTGCAAGAACAACCGAGCATCCTCTCTTAACCATATTTGCTTTGAATTGTCTTCAGACGGATCTTTTGTGAGATGATCATCTTTACCAATGCTTCGCAGGTAGAGATGAATTATCTTACTCCAATCAAAATAGTTATCAGACCCATTAAGCTTATGTTCCGTAATTTTTGACATTACAGGAACCATATCAGTTATAGGCTTATCAGTCATGGTAAGAAGATGAAAAATTGATCTCAACACAAATAGCCAACACAACTTACAGACGAAAATCAACAAACTGACCTCAACACAAATAGCCAACAAAACTCTTCAAAGAACGAAATCTGATACCAACAAAAATCAACAAAACTGATCTGAATTGGTTGAGATACTGAGGAACTAATCACATAGACTTGCCGGAAATATCAAGATGAAGCCGAGAAGGATGATCGGAACACTATACTCTGTTACACGTGCCCCCACGCGTTGGCGTGTGAAGAGCGCCGCAGATGAAAAAGACTCACGCACTGCTCCTCTGGTGACCGGACTTCAGGGAATAGTCGATCGGCTAGGAGGGGCTTCTTCCTAGGCAGGCGGTGGGAAAAAAAAGGCCACTCTCCAGGGTGACTCACAAATAATGCTCACTTAGACAGAGAAAAAGAAAACGAAATTGGAAAACAATCTAGAATTGCTCTAATACCATGTGAAAAACAGAGAACTAATTGTAATTCTTATTATTTGTATTGATAAATTATACATCAATATATAAGAAAATAAAGAAC